AATTGCAATGTTATTTTCAGTCCTAATGATGTTTGCTTTCAGGATATTAAGACCAGTAAGATGCTGGGAAAAGGTGTGAGCAAGGGAGAGCTATATTTGCTTGAAGACACCAAAGTTTCAGATTTATCTTGTGCTTTTAATTCTACGTCTGTTTTAGCTAGTGATGTGTTATGGCATGCTAGATTAGGTCATCCTCATTTCCGTGCCTTAGGTTTGATGTTACCTAATCTATCTTTTAAGAATGAAAGTTGTGAGGCTTGTATTCTTGGTAAACATCAAAGGTCTGTTTTTCTTAAATCAATGACTATATACGAGAATTGTTTTGATCTTGTGCACTCTGATGTTTGGACTGCTCCTTGCGTGTCTAGGGAGAATCATAAGTATTTTGTTACATTCATAGATGAAAAATCAAAATATACTTGGCTCACCCTGATTCAAACTAAAGATAGGGTTTTGGAAGCTTTTATTAACTTCCAAAACTATATATCTAACCATTTCAATTCCAAGATCAAAATTTTCAGGTCTGATAATGAGGGAGAATATACAAGCAATGCTTTCAAACATCACTTAACAAAACATGGGATTATCCATCAAACAAGCTGTCCTTACACACTCCAACAAAATGGAGTAGCTGAAAGGAAGAATCGCCATCTTATGGAGGTTGCAAGGAGCATGATGTTTCACACCAATGTTCCTAAGAGATTTTGGGGAGATGCGGTGGAATCAGCTTGCTATCTGATAAATAGAATCCCCACCAAAGTTCTCCAAGATGTCTCTCCCTTTCAGGTATTAAACAAAATTAAACCTCCAATTGATCATCTACGTGTGCTTGGGTGTGTTTGTTATGTCTTGACACCAGGAGAAATGAGAAACAAGCTAGAAGCCAAGAGTGTCAAGGGCATATTTATTGGATACTCCCACACGCAGAAAGGTTATAAGTGCTACATTCCTGATTCAAGAAGAGTTATGGTCTCAAGGGATGTTAAGTTTGTGGAATCTGAGGGGTACTATGAGGAGAAGAGTTGGGANGAGAAAACTACATCACTTGGTCTAGATTGACCAAAACAGCCCTTGGAGGAAGAGGTCTTTGGGAGCATATCACTTCAAGTTCTGCACCAAGGCAAATCACCCAAGGAGAAGATGGTAAGGAGATTGTAGTGGTAGATGAAGGCAAATGGGATCAGGAAGACCTCATGGTGCTGTCTATCTTGCAAAGCTCTCTTGATGGTCCTATCATGGACTCTTACTCACAATGTGAAACTCCAAAACAGTTGTGGGATACCTTGAAAAAGGTGTATGGCAATAGTTCAAATCTGACCAGAATCTTTGAAGTTAAGAGAGCCATCAATAATTTGCAGCAAGAGGAGA